TGTTGTTTCAGTATTGGGTATACACTGGTACAACAACTGAAATAGAACGAGTCAGCAATCCTCCATTTAAAACACAAATTCCCGTAGTTAATCGTAGTAACTGGACTTGCTTGAGTTCCTTGAAGACGTTTCATCCAAGAGGCTTCATCAGTTCTGACTGACTAGTTGGGAGTTCCAGATACTGATATCCTAAAGGAGCCATTAACACCTGAGTTTGGCTCCTTAAGTAGTAGTAAGTAGTAGTAGTAGTAGTAAGGATTTAAGTATCTGGAACTCCCAACTAGTCAGTCAGAACCGATGAAGCCTCTTGGATGAAACGTCTTCAAGGAACTCAAGCAAGTCCAGTTGCTACGATTAAACTACGAGACTAACCATGACCTGGATGACTGAGAATCTTCACAGACATGTTTAAAACAAAAAGTGTTGCTGCTTAGTTTTATGTTCCAAGAAAAATTTCAGTTGATGGATAATTGCTGCCTAAAAGTTGTCTGTACATCGGCCCCAAAAAGTATCTGGAAAACTCAAACCACACTTGACAATGGATGCTTTTCATTGCATTTATTTTAAGAGTAGATAGCACAAAATGCTTCCCATGTTTTCCACGTGTTAAATGATGAAATAGTAGATATACAGCTCAAGATGAAGACTACAGCTATAGTGTTTTTAGGTTTAGTTTGCCACCCTCCAGCTTGCAGAACACAAAATATTGGCATGAAGTCAAACATTCTCTGCAATAGATCTGTGTTGGAGGTTTACTTCATGTTTCCACCTGATCTGAAGTGAAGTTTGCTACATTTTCTCCACTGTTTTTGTCTCAGTCCCCTCTGCTGCTGCTCTTTCCGGGTTTGTCAGTCACATATCTTTCATTTAGCATGTTTTCAACAATATACATGTAACTGTAGAGGATGGAAGATGGTGATTTTTTTGGATCTGACTGAAGCTCACTTTTGCCATTTTGCAGCTGCTTCCAACAATCAGAGATTATTTTTAGTCGATGTATAAAGTCGGTGAGCCGTAAGGTGCCTTGAGCAGAGAAACCACAGTTCTAGTTGATGCATTATCACCAAAACTCGTCCAAATACTTCTGTTGCCAATTGTTGTGATAAGTTTGTGCTTCCTCGAGTTGACAACCTGATGGATTGATTGTACAAGGGTTTGAGCAGTTACAGAACTTGGATATTTTTGTTAGACGGGACGAAAAACACTAAATCTAGAAGGCAGAGAGTCGGCTTGTCTTTAAGATATTCCCTCTGTACCCAGAAGTTGACAGTTAAAATATTCTTATGTGCAATGATTTCGAATCTACAAAACAATCAAACAACAAATCTTAGGTTCNGTGCAATGATTTCGAATCTACAAAACAATCAAACAACAAATCTTAGGTTCACAGTATTTTCATCCTGATTAAAAGCAAAGAATAGTGTGAAGAGAGATGGTTTAATTTCTTTAAAGTGTGAGGTGCTATATTATTTACACCACATCACAGTCAGCACAGCCTTCAGAGAAACAGACTGAAGCTATTAACCACTGTGAACAGCATCAGCAACAAAGCATATTTTAGCCACCGGAACAAAGGCCAAAGGAAGAAAGAAAACTGATGGAACCCAGGCCTGCTTAAAAATATCCGCTTGAGCTATATTTAGAACATTTTCACCTCGCTGTCAGACAGCCTGGTCCTATACAAGTGACGCAGTTATACGGCTCTCTTCAGAGCCACCAGACTCTCTTGAATATAACCTCACAGAACAGGGGAGTTTCTAGCCTGTAATACAAACTAACCAATCGATCAGGGCGGCTGTATACCAGCGAATCTCTTTGTCAGCACAGTCCGGTGGCTTTGAAGTGAGCATAAAGCAATATAAAAGCTTGAGTTCCCTGTTGGGGAAAAAGCTGACAGCGAGCGGTGAAAATATTCTATATATAGTGTACGCTTATAGTGGATATAGTTTAGCTTATTTTTAAGGCGGCTAAAATGCACTTTCCTGCTTTCTCCTATCCACTGTAGTTTACTCCTTTAGCTGATACTCTTTTTCTGGTTTTCAAAACTGGGTGCATATTATGGGGTGTACCAGCCATCAGCTACTGTAGGAAATGTGCTGATCATATAGCGTAAAAGAAACCAAACTACCCCTTAAAACAGTCACTGTACATCTCACAACAAACAGGCAGCATCTCATGTGTCCTTAGTGCATCTACCTGTACATTATGCTCTGAAAGAATCTGTCGTATTTGGGTTCAGAGCAAAGTTAATGTTAATGAAATCTACTGCAATGTGCTTCTCTGAGAGTCCATCAGGTGGCACTGTATGCCAGCTGTTGGACCCTCGACGCCAACACTAACCTGATGTGTTTTCTTCACTCCACTAGGGGGCTCTATCGGCCACCTACTCCGCTCTGAGGCGCTGCGCTCCTGCTCCGGTCCTGGAACCAGTTCA